TCTATCTATCTATCTATCTATCTATCTATCTATCTATCTATCTATCTTCATTTTGCTACAATTATTCAAAAGTATCAATTACATACTTATATCCAACTATGTATTTGCTTTCAAATTCCATAAACAGCTACCAACAGTTTTAATCTCCAGTTTAATTCTTGTAGCCTTTATTCTTTTTTGTTACATGATAAACTTTAGAAAAATCACTCTTATCACTCTCTTAGCTTTTCTGTAATGATCTTAGCTGCAGTTAACTATTTCTCCCCTTAAATCCGTTGTTCCGTTTGCCAATTTTGTGCAACACTTTAGTACTATTGTGGATCTTATTGATAAGTATAACTGTAATATTCATATCAACATTCTAGATCAGAATTATAAGAAAGGGTTTATCAAGTTTGCAACAGTCATATATGTAACACAAACTGATGTTCTTGTAAGAAATATTAACCCTTTGTATCATTACTCTGAAAGTGTCAAGCACGAAAGGCCAGCTCCACATGTGAAAGTGCAATTAAACCGATTCATTGCTAAAAATCTATGCACAGGGCTCTTCTCAGCTAATGGTCAGCACCTGCTTAGAGTTAGATAAGGCTCAGCTGAATCCCAAGGCTACATGGGGATTCTAGGCTGATCCCTCTTAACTCTGCCACTCCTCCTCCTCCTCCAGAATTATAAAATGTTTACCACTATTTGCAAAAATGAAAATACCGTAAGTTAAGCTTGTTTTTTTTAAAAAACCTAGGAAACTAAAATATGCCGCTATATTTATTCCAACAGGTGTTGGAGTTGGCAGGCAACGCTTCGAAGGATCTCAAGGTAAAACGTATCACTCCACGTCATTTGCAGCTTGCCATTCGTGGTGATGAGGAGTTGGATTCCCTTATTAAAGCAACCATTGCTGGTGGAGGTGTGTATCATCATAGCTTCTGAATTCTGTATTATTATAAAAGGTTCCAGCTCATATTTTTGTACAGGGTATTACTTTATATATACATCAGTTCTATACTTTCATCCTTATGATTTGTCTTTAATTAAATTAAGACTATTTATTTAGCAGTGCTGTGTTCCCAGTGTTAATTTTAATAGAAGCGCAGAACAAACTTTGTGTAGTCTTTCCTGAAGAACACTCCGTCTTCTATTCCTCTTCCGTATCCTGATCAATTTTTAAACTGCCAGAACGAAGCCACATTCTTGACTTTGTCGTTGGCCAAAAATAAGTCATTCTTGGTACATGTTTCTGGTAGTAGCTGACATTCCAGCAGATGGTCCTGGCTCTGTGTCTCTCTACATTCACACAGTGTGTTGTTATCCGCAAACAGCCTCCACTTGAGCGTATTCGTTTCACATTTAGGCATTCCGACTCTTAACCTGTTCAGGGTCCTCCAAGCAGTAGAAGGACATTTTCCTCTTCCATGAAAACCCTTTTAGATTGAAATATTGGTTGAAGTGTGCAATTAAAAGAATAACAGTTGCTTGAAAACGTGAAGTTGGGATAGGGGAGGGAAGAAGAGGAGACGTTGACGGGGCTGTATAAGTATCGACCGGTGTCTTAAATCTTGATGTGACCGTGGCTCTGTCTCCTCATCCTTTGCTCTCTTTGCAGGCGTAATTCCTCACATCCACAAGTCTTTGATTGGAAAGAAGGGACAGCAGAAGACTGCGTAAAGAGGCGCTTCCGGCAGCCCGCTTCCTCCCTGTCATTGTACTGTAATTGGGACAGAAGAAATATGGGGATATGTGGAATTTTTTTAAAAGAATAGTTAAATGGAAGAGCATAGACAATTGACTGTAGACTTAAAACATTTGTATGTTCTAGATTTAAAGTTTGACAACAACAAAAAAGTACCCTGTTATGTGGCAGCAATTTGTGTGTTGATTGGCTAGGTTTCTCCCATGTGTTTTATACAAAAATGGAACTGATAAAACCATTTTTTACAAAACCTATTCTTGTGTGTCATTCTGGTATACAAGGGATAAATCCAGTAAAATTAAATTGAAATGTTTAGAACAGTCACACATTCTAAAATTGGATATAGCCACAATCATGATTAACTTTGTTTACTCTTGCTTATTAACATAGAAATCAAAGTCCAGATTTTGATGTCACTTAAAATAACTTTTATGAATTTTAACAATACTTTAAAAAAAAAAAATCTTTTTGCCTAAAATCTTTTCTCTAAATTCCTATGTTGCACAAACATGGAAAGTGTTGCCCTGTCACCTTAGCAAAGATGTCCATCCTGAATTTTGCTGCTCACGGCTGATAATCTCACTGAAGGTGGTGGCTTGGCAGGGAATACTGCTGTCTTATTGCACCAGCCCAGTTGCTTTTGTTTCATTATTATTTTGTTTTGTTCTGAAAAACTCTTCCTCTGTAACAAAATGCTAAAGGAGCAATGCTGCCTTGATTACAACTGGAAAGGTTACCATTTTGGTACCCCTCTAAACAAGAACCAGTGTTTCTTTCCACTATTAATTTTCAGAACTGCTTTACGCAATAGAATTGTAGCCGTGTTGCTGATTAAACATCATGGCAGAATGATCTCAAATCTCCAAATTCTTGGCTTAACTATAGTTGTTCTCAAATTAATTTGAATAAAATGTTATCTCAGTTATAATTCCAGGTTTGCTCTGATTAGTGATTAGTAATTTTAGATAAGTTTAGTTACAGTTTTAGATATCTAAAACTATAAGGATTTACAGTCTTTAAAAGAGATTATTGTTAAGAAATTTGGATTGAAGGAGGTCAAATAGGATTTCGGTGGTTTCTCCATTCCTATCAGTGTGGATGGCTATTTGTATTTTTTAAGTACTATTCACTATATTCCTGTGCATTGTAAGTAATTATAAACATTGTCCTTATTAAAATAGTTTTCAAAAAATGCTACATATGGTAAAAGTGAGTGAGGTGAAATTATTTAGGGAAGTTAGATGCAATGGCCAGTTTGGATGCGGATTTGGGGACTTTGCGTTACATTTGCCGATTCCATGGTAACTGGTAATCTAATAAAATGCTGTCCTAACAAAGGCGATAATTTATATAACAAAGTTAGATCTTTGAATTTGGCATAGGATTTCCCCCCCAGAGGCCCCTTCAGTAACAGTGTGGTAGCCGATGAGCACTGCTGTAGTAGGAGGAGGGTGTTTCTTTTCTTAGGAACGTTAATCAATACCTCTCCGGTGTAACTGATAACCTGGACTGACAGCTACAGAACAGACGAGGCTTCTGTTACTGAAGGCTCACCAGAGGTTTTTAAAAAGGGACTGGACAGCCACTTGTCCGAAATACTTGAACAGGGGGCTGGACTAGAAGACCTCCAAGGTCCCTTCTGGCTCGATTCTGATTCTGGAACTTCCATACTTAAAATGCTTATTTTTTGCTGATGGATTAACAATGTCAACAATGCTTTGCTAATGAAAGAGGCTGTTTTCTAACATAAATAAAAGAGAAAGGATTGATTGGAGTGAAAGGTTATTTTTGTCAGGAGTTGAAAACAACTAATTTGCAGGCTGTTTAATGCATTAATCACAGTGCAGAAATTAATACACTTGTTGCTAAGATCTACAGGTTATTGTTGGCCACATTTTTAGGCAGATAGCTGAAATGGATGTGAGTGCAATGGAATACCTGTAGGTTCCAGGATTAATTTAAGTTACTCATTATTTCTTAGGTGTTGATTGAAAGAAGTACTAAAGGCCCACAATCAAAGTGCCACTGTCTCTTGGACAGAAAGGCCACTGAGGAAAAAAGCCTGATTTTAAACTCTAAATTATTTCTCATGCCAAAAAGTCTTACCTGACACTCTGGGGGTCCCTGCCAGTAAGAACTGCATGAGCTAAATGGGCACGCAAATAAGTTAGTTTACAGCAGGGGTCCCCAAACTTGGCCACTTTAAGACTTGTGACCCTCAACTCCCAGAATCCCAAACTTGGCCACTTTTAAGACTTGTGGACTTCAACTCCCAGAATTCTCCAGCCAGCATAACTGTCTTTAAAGTGGCCAAGTTTGGAGACCTTTGGATTACAGAGTTGAATCAATCCAGTATTGGCTAGAAAAGAGACGCTGGATTCCATTCTTGCAAGCTGTTTGTGGGAATATGGGGGCATAGGTTAGCAACAGAGCTTCCCCGTGGCTCATTCAATACAAGATTTTCAGGGGGAACAGTGGATCTACATCCTATAGCTTTAGCTAAAGGGGGGGGGTTGCGGGGGGGGGAGGAACATAACCATAAAGAGCATAACTTCACCTGCTGGGATTGCTAGAAAAGTTAAAACCACTTTTATCAAAAAAATGATAGTGTCTCAAGTGGTTTCCCAAGGATCTTCAAACCTCCAGCTTCAGGCTTGGCTGTTTGACTCTACAAACCGGTTTACCATACAGCGGTAGAGTTGAGTTTCCATTTTGAAAGAAAAATGGGAAAGTTTTTGGTGGAAATATCCACGGAACGCCCAGCTTGGCCTCCACGCCAGACTCAGCACCAGTTGAAAGTCCGCCCCACCATGGCAAAAAAGTCTTCATTGTGCTGACTGAAGTAGGTGCAGAGCCTCTCCAGCAGTAATTCATCCACGGTGGGGTGAGGCCGGCCTTTGGACGGGTCAAGGCAGTGCCGTTCTCCTGCGGCCTGGAGGCAAAAGAAGCCTTTGGTTTCGTTGAAATAGAAGTTGTTGGGCCCCAGGTAAGGCTCCAGCCCCAGAAACTCTTCCACGTGACGCATCTCCGAGAGCGGCTGCCGAATGAGGCCGCCTCCGTCCACCACGTGGATCTGCGTGGTCGGGAAGAACTCCAGCCACCGAGCCAAGTGCAGGGCGTAGAGGCTGCGTTGCATGGCCTTGTAGCTGGTGTTCAGCTCTTGACCCCTTTCCAGGATTTCTTCCAGGGACTGGTACGGTTTCCGCCGGGCTTTGCGATTGTAGAGGATCTGGGTGTAATCGGACACCAGCCTTTCCACGGGATCCCGCACGATCAAGAGGAGCTTCACGGATCTGTCCATGGTGTAAATCCGTTCGGGCGCCTCTAGGGAAGCGAAGTAGCCGGGCGTTTTCTCCACAGTGATCTGACTGCTGTAGGAATTGGGCATCTGTTGGCAGTACCAATCCAATCCCTTCCGGTAATTCTCTTCCAGGTTGAAGAAGTGGATCTCGGAGTGAGCAGCGGCCACCTGGGGGTGCAGGCTCAGCATCTCCAGCAAGGCCCTGGTGCCCCCTTTCCTCACTCCAATGATGATGCCTTTGGGGAGCCGCTGCTTCCAATCCTCATCCAGGGCCTCGGAGTCGTTCCTTTTCCACTGCTCCAGCAGGTCGCTCATGACATCGGAGTCGTTCCTTTGCCAGCTGGCCTCCCAGCGTCCTTCTTGTGAATAAATCCCACACATCTGGAGACATAGCAGCAGCAGCAGGCAAACGCTGCCCATCTCTGAGCCTCCTCCAAGATGAGAAGCGGCCGGGATAACCGATGCAGTAGAGGACAAACTCTGCGATTCTCAATCCTCTGAGCTTGCTGACAGTTTGATCCCCCCACCACCGCCGTCCAGCTAGGAAGCGATCCTTCTATAGAAAACTATGTTCCACGTTCACAAGGTCCACTGCTGGTAGTTCACATTCCAGTGCCCAGACTCACAGCAATTGCAAATGGAACCCTTCAGCAGAAAGACGTTTGCTTGAAGAACTTCTTGCCACCTGAAAAAAGATAGAAATGTGATCACAAAAGCTCAAGGACCTTCCAACTCTTTATTATTCTGTTCCCGAAAGGCCAATGATGCGCAGCAAATCTAAACACGCAGATGTAGGTTTGGGTTTCACCGCTTAGTCTAAACCAGCCAACCTTTTGGACCTCAGGGACCACCAAACTCATAATTTTAAATCCTGCGGACCAGAGACACCCTGGGAAAATCCCCTCCAAAACGGCTGCAAGAAAATTCCCCGCCCCGTTTTCCTACTGATCGACCGTTCTTTATTTGGGATTACAGGATACCGTCTCCAGCTCCGTTCTCGGGCGGGAGGGGGAGGAGAGACTTTTGACTTCATGCAAGGAAAGCAGCAAAAGTCTTTCTCTCCCCCAAACTCCGCCAGAATGGCGCAGCCTCTTGGAGCAGGGATGCCTTGCAGGGTCCCAAAGACTCATTTTTGGCAGAGTTTGGGGGAGAGAAAGAAAGACTTCCGCTGCTTTCCTTGCGTGCAGCCAAAAGCAGAAGAAGAAAGAAGTGGAAAGAAGCAGGCCGGTGACCGGGCGACGCGCGTGGGGAGAATGGGGCAAGTTTACCCCCTCCGCCCTTTCCCTCCTCCCCTCACTACCTCGTGTTGTTCGCAATGCAAGCGACGCAAGCCTTGTGTTTCCGCGGGCCATGTGGGTGGCACAGCCTTGTGTTCCTGCGAAGCCTGGATTAATTGCTTTGGGGGTGACATTTCTCTGCGGACCACCAAAATTTTCTCGCAAACCACCAGGGGTTCCCAGCCATCACATACTTGGCTTAGCATGTTGTGTTAGTGAGTAGTGCGGTGGCCTAGAGGTGGAGCTCTTGCCTCACAATCGGGAGGCTGCGAATTCAATCCTAGAGGCACAATGAGAATATATATCTGCTGAACCAAACTCTGCACTGGCAACAGGAAGGGCATCCGGCCAGTAAACACTCTGCTAGCTCCATTCAGACTCCACCCCGCAAGGGATTATGGGGTCGTTAAAAGGAGATGATATTGTGTTAGCCCAGTTTGGTAGTTTGCAAACCATAATTTGCTGTGTGTTTTTTATAGTTTATCTTTGCAAAACGCCCAGAGTTGCTTTATGGGTGACGTGGGCAGCATATAAATTTAATAAATAAATATAAAAACATAATAAAATATGGATGCTAGTAAGCTTTAGTTAAACTTAATGAGCCAGGGGAACCTCGGGAAGGATCGCTCTATCAAGATTTTTAAGACTCAGGTTAAGCGTTTTGCAAATTTGTCAACACTGAGATGTGAGGACTTCAAACTGCCAGAATTTTGTAAGCTGGCTGGGAAAT